TTCCTCTCTCTTTTCAGGCTTCATTGACAGTGCCACAGGAAGTTTTTTAACAAATACCCTTTATCCTGYAGGATTCAAAACAGCTGGGTTGGCTGACGGACATACAACTCCTCACATTTTTCAGATGTTTCCTTAACTGCTTTTTAGGAACAGCTCTTTTTATAAACCTTTTGTTATTTCAAAGTTATCTGACCTTAATAAAGATTGCTTTCCAGTAGAAGATTAAAAATTCTATTCACTATTTCTGAATTATTCTTTTCTGGCTTTCCCATTTAATCTTCTATTGCCAGTTTCCCTTATTTTGCCTCTTTGCAATGTTTGCAAAAGCTCTAATTTGCCCTGCACCTTTAAGCTACTAACATTGCATTTTTTCTGTCCATTTTTTCTGTTTTTATTTACTTTCTGTAGTTATATTTTATTCTTATCTTCCCATTTCTTATACTTGATTCTTATCTTCCAATTTCTTATCTTCTCTCCCCCCAAAATCTCCTTCTCTTTACTCTCGTTGCTCTTTGTAGAGCCCTTTTAGTCCACAGCGGTGAGGAAAAAAAGTGACATAGAGGGAAGTGAGTTCACTTCTTCCTGCTTGCAAGTCTGCAGGTTTTCTCTCAGTCATGCAGGTTTCTTTGACTTTCCGTTAAGAAAAACAACAACAAAAGAGACAAGAACTATGTGTTCTTGGTTTGTCACGACATTTTATTACCTTGAAGGACAGAGATCAACTTGTTGGGCACAAAATGAAATTTTTCCAACATGCAGTTGGCTCGTTTTTTTGGTTTTGTTTCCTTTTTTTTTTTTTTTTTTTTTAATAAATTATATTTGGCATAACCAGCCAAACTGTTCACGTTGCTGAAATCTATCACTGTCTTTGAAAACTCCTAAGCTATCAGGAGTTTTCAGCTCCTAAGCTTCAAAAACTCCTAAGTCAGTCCCAGAGAGATTTTTCTTACTTTATGAWTTCTAAGAAGGTTTTGAAAGTGTCACCTCAAAAGAGGGATAAAAATATTTTAAAAATGTTCTTATTCTCTTCTATGGAGTAATAATAATGGATGTAAATTTTGGCCTTCCACATATCACAACACAAAAGCTATTCTGAAAGGGTATTAGGACATTGAGAAATCATTCCCTGAAAAGGCAGGAGATGCCAAGCAATGTTATTTTGGCTTTGGTGCACACACACATTGTGATACAGTTAGCCAGATGTTCCCACCTTCTCAACGGGACAAAAGGTTTTCACTGAGTCACTGCCAAATATTTATTTCTCTTTATTGATCGGTATATTATCCACACCTTATTTACTGCTGCCATTCATACACTTCTCTGAAAATTAACATTTTTCTCATGAGGTTTTTGATGGATCTCATCATTTTTGTACTCGAAGACAAAATGATTACGTCGCTTATCCTCCCAGCTTTGTGAGTAAGATGATGGTGGCAATCCAGSTCTACAGATGGAAATATCAAGTCTCAACAGTTAATCAAGTTAATACTGAAATGCTTTAGTTTTCAAAATACCTGGTAGTTCAAGGTCTGGCCTACACAGACTTCAGCTGAAATTATGAAAAGGYGAGTACTTTTGCAAGGAAGACCCCACATTTCAAGCACTTGGAAGAAGAGAAACATGGTATAATTTACCTTATATAAAAATACTGCTTCAAGTGATCTGCCCTAGTTTGCACTGGAATTCACAAAAGGCAAGATCAGAATATATTCCTCAAAGGCAGATTTTTAATTACTAGTCTGTCCTCTTTCTATTTCCTCTTGCCTTACTCTTTATATACATTTTTGACAAAATCTATGGCAGTGATCCCACAGGTGAGCTCCTTCCCTGCAGAGCTCTGCAGGCCGGCCCTGCACACTAGATAAAGCAAAGGTTTTGCAGAAAATGCCTTGTGACTTTAGAGAAAAAACAAATCTTCTCATTCCTCAGAGGTGAATCTTTTTGTMTGCCTTGTTACATTAATTTTCTTTCCATATTTGTTTTATTTGCTTGTCCTTCTTAGTTGATCTGGATCTTGGCTTCTTAATCATAATCATAACTTCTCCTTTTTCTCCCCAATGCTAACATTTCACCATTTAAAGTTATGACAGGTTAACGATGACAAAAAGGTATATACTTAAGCCTCATATTTTTCAACTTCAAAGAGATGAAAAAGCTCATATTTATTAATGTTTCTCCAAAATATTTAAGTCAGAATTATCATTGCTGTTTCAAAGCCAGACAAACTGGGTAGAGACATTACAGTCAAATTGTCTCCTATATTTAACAGGTACAAATAGCTGAAGGGAAGCCCGATCTGTGGTAAGCAGAAGTCTGATCCTTATACATTTTTCAAAGCTTATGTTGGGTGTTGACCAAATCTAACCTAAACCGCTCTCTAATAGTTTGGTCAAAACCAAACTATTGCTAAGCAATAATCCTCACTTCATGTGTAGTGGATTTTCTTKAAGTGAAATAAAAATATTCCCCATGTACATTGGAGTGCAACTATTAGAGTGCATGGCCAAATGTGAAAAATAAAGGTGGGCTTTTATATTATGAGATTTATTTCAGTGTATTGACCTGAACTTCTATACAGTGCAAGATAATAYTGTACTGCTTTCTTGTATGAACGTGAAATTCTTAGTTTAGTAACTAAGAACCGGTTCAGTTCACTCACCATAATATTCCATTGCCATTTTTACAACTTGCAAATGATGGAGGGAAGATGTTCTCTATATAATAGTTATTCTAAACCATTACCAACGTGATCATTAATCTGCTTGGTAACTGTAATTGGTATAAAAAGAGAAAGAAATGTCTGCAACATGTACCAAGGTGTTCATTTTCCCTTGTGCTATTAATTGTTCATTGTTAGGCTGCTAACTCCTACCTACTTTCAAGTCCAAGTATAAATTTCTTCTATTCCTTTGTTTTTGCAACAAACTCCTTCACCAAAAAAAAAAAAAAAAAAAAAAAAAAAAGAAAAAAGAAAAAGTAAAATGACATGGACGTCCCTGATATCTGATATTCTTTTCCTTAAAGTCTCTCCAAATGGTATTTCAAAATATAAGCTTGGATGCTGAGATGTCATTTCACTCCAAATATTATCTTTTACCAGACTTGCAACTAATTATCTTCCTCGATRTTTTGCTTTAAACCCTGATATTCCAGATTAAATTTAATTACCGCTACTACAAAGGTTCTATAGTTTATTGCAAAATCAGTAGAAAGAAAAWTAATAYACTATCACAAACAACCAGTCTTTCTTCGAATAATGGAAACAGTCTGCAGGGGAAGTTCATGTTGTCTCACTACATAATCAGGTCTCTTTTCTCCTTAGCCACAAATAGGTAATTTCATCATAATACTTTATTCCACTTTTAAATCAAAACTAATAGCAGTTAAAGGCACAAACACATTTGCACAATAAAATGAGTATTTCGTGTCTCTGCACATGGCGTGCAATACGTCWGTGACCATTGTATGCTAAATATGTCTCACTTGTGGTCCAGATAGGCAATGCACATCCTGAAAACAGGAATGGTTTTGCTTAAGCAACAGCCAGGCTTGTACGACTTCAAAAGGAAGGAAAATTTATAACCACTTAGATGATTCACCTTCAAACTCATTGTAGCTATATTAATTTTCTTTCCTCTGATGCCCTTTCCTGTCATTCCTGAAGCTTTTACAGACTTAAACACCACCACCATAGCACATGATGCTCAATAGTTGATACAAAAGACCAAGCGGAAGGAATTGCTTTTCCTAAGCCCACCTTCCCCCYTTCCGCTGCCTTGCCAGAGCTGTGACAACGCTACGTCGCAGGCTCTTTGGCCGGGGCTCCCTGATCGCCCCTCAGTGCCGTGGCAGGGACAGGAGATGGGTGCTGTGTGTGGCCTTGGAGGGGCCCGGGTGTCCTGGAGGAGCTCGTGTGAGACAGGAGGTTGTTGGGATGGAGATGGCCCTGTACTAYGTGATGGCACTGGAAAGCAAGGTGGTCCCAATGCCAGTGGGTCTCTGAAACTGAGCTGTCCTATTAGTGCAGTGCAGCTCCCTCCTGGGCATTTTCCAGAGCRTCCTTGGGAGTTCTGGAACAACCCAACCCCACCCAGCCTGATCCCACCACGGGAACAGCTGTTTCAGTGCGGCCTGGGGCCCATCTCCCAYGGCGGTGGTTGAGTGGGGACAGTCTCAGGCCACCCCACCGCTTGCCCAGCTGCAGCTTGGCCTTGGAGAGCCAACAGCAAGGGTGGCCTTGGGATGGCAGCTGTTGGGGATGGAGGCTCTTGAGGATTGTGGCTGTTCGGAATGGCTGCTCGGGATGGTGGCTGTTGGGGTCAGCAGTTGTTGGGAGTGGTGACTGTTGGGGATGGCGGCTGTTGGCAATGGGGGTTGTTGGGGATAGTGGCCATTGGGGTGGTGGCTGTTGGGGTCAGCAGTTCTTGGAAATGGTGACTGTTGGGGGCAGTGACTGTTGGGAAGGCAGCTGTTGGGGATGGTGGCTATTGAAGATGGCGGCTGTTGTGGATGATTGTTGTGGATGGCAGCCTTTGGGAACAGCGGTTGTGGGGGATAGCAGCTGTTGGTGCCAGCAGCTGTTGGGTAGGGCTGTTTGGGATGGTGGCTACAGGGGCTGATGGCTGTTGGGGGCGGCAGCCACTGGGGATGGACATTGATGAGAAAGTTGGCTGTTGGGGACGGCTGTTTGGGACAGCAGCTACTGGGACGGCTGTTGGGGACAGCTGTTGTGGGGAACAGCGGCTGTTGTTGGGAGTAGCGGCTACGGAGGAGACTGGTGCGCTGACGCAGCACGTGAGGGCAGCCCAGGGCACCTGCCCGAGGCGCTCGGCYATGACCGGCGCGACCCACACGGGCCGCGGGCAGCGCCCGCCCCTCCCCCCGCCGCCTTCCCGCCTTCCCGCCGCGCGCTCTGCGCCTGCGCCGCGGCCGCTCCCGCCCACGCGGGCTTCCAGCGCGCCGTGACGCCACAGCGCGCCGGCACCGTGACGTAGCGGCGCTGTGACGTAGCGACGCCGTGACGCAGCCGGCGCCAGGTGCGCTGTAAGTTCCCTTCCCCCGCGGCGTTGCCGGCGCTGCCGTCGCGGCCCGGGGGGGTGCGGGGCGGAGCGGGGCCCGC